TTCGACGCTGTCATTGTTGGACAAAGAATTCGATTTAGAAAAAAAAAAACTGACTTTTTTGATGTCGGGAAAAATAAAAATATACTTTTTTAAATCGCGTGTCGGTAAACCGAGAGAGAGATATATTTTCTATGAGCGGCACAGCTTTGACTCACAATTAAGGAGAACCAGTCTCAATACGAACTTGACGTGTCGCGATTAATCGTCTGAAATCTTGATTCCGCGTAGTCATATCTGACCCGATCGCGCGCCTCGATCTTCGCCAATAAAAAGTTTTCGCAATAGCGTGTATTATATTTCTCGACACACTGCGATGTCTCGCGTCTCGATTTGTGTCAGTGTAATTTGTGTTCCCGTCGCGCGTATTTACTTACCATTTCGCTATGTTCATTTTATTGCAAAAAGCGTAAGACGCGACGTGTTGTTTAAACGCGCGCGTAGGTAGTTTTTCTTCGCAGAATCCATTTCGAAGGCGTTGCTGTGTGCTTTCGTAAATATATAAATACGGATTTGTATTTGTGCGTGCGTGCGTGCGTGTCTGGCGGTTATTAATAAATTTCGCGGCAACGTCAGTACACACAGAGTGTGATCGTCGCAAATCTCGTAACGCCGAGTCCGGAATACATTGACGCATTAAACGGCAATATTTATACGCGTTGACGTGGGTGAGAGACGCGAGTACGTAAAACTTTGTCCACAGATTATTGCCTCGATTCGCCGACTGACCTTCGAAAAATAAGAAAAATGAAATATATTCGAGCGTGCTCTCGAAGCAAAGAAACATCGTTCGGTTTTCTTTGTGCTTCGGTTGTTCGTGTCTTTTTATTTTTTATTTTATTTTATTTTTTTTTTGATATATTCAATTAGCATTTAATACAAACCCGCTCTACTATGATATCGATCTCGATTATACGAGGCAGAAATAACAATTTGTCGAGCAAGAAGATTTAATTGTAGCTTTTCTTGTTTTCTAGATTTAAACCGCGATTATCGCGAGAGAAGCCGATGCTCGCCGCGCGCAAGAAGATATAAAGACTGTGCCGTGCCGCCTCCTCCCAAGGCAGTTCTCGCACTTCGTCAATCTCTTCGGCGAAGGACGGACGTCGAAAAAAAAAAGTCATCATTCCGCCGACCGGTAAGTTTCTTATTTGATATTCTCTCTTCTCTCTCGAGTGTGTAATTGGTTATTCCCCGTCTCTTTGTCGCGATTATCGAGCGATTTAGCCAGTTGCGTTCTCTGCGAGCGTCAAAGAATGATCTTCGTGTGTGTAACTGGCTTTTAACGGGCATTATCGTTAATTCGATCACACGACGAAAGACACACGCGGTCAATAAGATTACGACCGATCGCCGCCGCGAGAAAACCGGCTGCGGAGAGAAAAACGGTGTTCTGCGTTAAAAACGATTTTCCGATCGCGAAGAGACAAAGGTCGGCGTACAAAGTCGAGAAATAAGTCTCGATTCCCCGGCGTGAAACTCGCTTTCCGTCGAAACAACAACAATTGACAATCGCGTTGACAATCGCGCGAATGGATTTACCTAAATCTTCTTCTCCGTCCGTTTACGCGCTCGCGGCGCGAAAGAAGTCGTGTTTTATTCTCGCTCGGGAAAAGAGGGAGTCACGCACGCTCTTTCTTGAACGACACTCGACTTCGATGACGAAGGGCGAGAGCGAGAAGGAAGAAGGGATATTCCGCGCGCTCTGGAATCGAGAGCGGTGGCGGTCGAAGTTGTGTGCCACGAAGGAAAGAGAGAAAACGTTCATTATTCTATTCCGGCGGTGCGAGGCCGGCGGCAATCTGGTCTTATAAAATAAACCACTCTAGCTTGCTCGCGGTCGGCGCGATGTGTCAAATAAATCGTAGCCTCGCTTCTTACGAGCTTACTTGCAACTTTGCTCCTTCTACCTCCTACCTCGTTCACTTCTCGTCATCTTTCTCTATCTCTCTGGCTTTCCGACACACATCCCCGAATCGTCCTCGTCTCGCTCGCTCGCTCGCTCGTCTCGCATTCATGAAACAAATTCTTCGCGAGTACATTGGCGCGTTCCTACGCGAAGAAAGAGAGAGAGAGAGAGAGAAAGACGATCGAGAGAGGACGAAGGGCCGAGAGAAAACTGGCGTACAATGCGCCGCACTATGCACACACGTTGTGTATGGGTATCTCCGCGCTATTCGAGGACGTTTGCATCGAGAAGACGCCAGTCACGCTTTCGACTTTCGCGCGGATAAACGCACAAATCAACGCCGAGAGTCGTCCACTAATGCATTCGGGGAAATATTCAAATGGATTCGAATAAAGGAGATTCGCTTTAAAAAAAAAAAAAAAAAATTTAAAAAACTCGTTCTTCGCACGTGGGGAAAGAAAATATTTCAAAACAAAAATTTCATTTTATTTGTTCGACAAAACAAATTTCACGCATTTGTACGTAGAACAATCGTGAGAAAGAACAATCTTGTATGTAATTGTTTCGGGAATTAAATTTCATACACACACACACACACACATGATAATTGTGCGTTTGATGAGAAGAGAGGACTCTCGGAGTCGGTTGTTTTGTTCTATTGGAAGTGTATAATTTTTTTACGGGAAGAACAGCAGCGCATATATCGTTAAGAAAAGCGCACGCGATCGCAAACACAATGCGGAGAGGGACAGCGAGGAAGAAATGTGCACATATGTAATTCATCTCTAACGTCGTGTATATTATCGTTCGTGCGGACCTGCTCGCTCGAGGCGTTTTGCTCGTGTAAACACCGGAAGCGAGCACTGTTACTCGCCCGTCACTGTGATTCGCTCGAGACAATTTCTCGTGGCACTTCCAGTCCATTCGGCCTGTGTGTGTGCTCGGTGTACATAAATTCGCCGGAACCCGATAAGCGCGCGTTAATTCCTTCGCTATTTATTCTCGATGCCTCGTTCGAAAACCGGGAAGATAAAGAAGAAAATCGAAAGCGACACGCGTCAAATTCGCGCAAAGTTCGGGTAACTCGCAACGCGGCGCCAATCGCCGACGCGTTGTCGACAAACTTTTTACGAGAAAATTAAACACATCCGGGCGAAACATCGCTATTCTACGAAGTATTCGACGTGTGGCGGCCAAAAATGCGCGGTAAGTGATCATCACGGGGGAGGCGAGGGATGGTGCGAGACCAACGATTTATTCCGAAAGATAATCTGATTCATCGTCGGGGGAGATCTCTCACGACAGACGCGCTTTTCTGGAGCTCTCTCTTTCTCTCTCTCTCTCTCTCTCTTGGTTTCGTTCCTTCTTCTCGATCTGGAATTTGGATTAAAGAAGCTCGGCTCTCTCTCGGACCGTCGAGACGCGCGAGGAAAGAGATTAAGTAAAGCCGGAATAAATTACCTCTCCTTTCTCCCGCCTGCTAAATAAGCCGCCTGGTCTGGCGGCGGACGAAGGGACGCGCGCGCGGTAAGGATGAACTTCGCCGCGTCTCTCGCACGCGTGGAGAGCTCATCGAATTAATCGCACGACTCTCGTAGGTAGCACCGAGTGTGGTTGCGAAGTTAATTTTTAATCTCCTCGTACGGCGCGAACGTCATCTCCGCGTAATTTTAAACCGCGTCTTCTTCACGGAAACCACAACGAGAGAACCACCAAAGAGAGATTGCGAAAAATCCCGAAGAAAGATCGTGTGTGTGTATCGCGAGCTTGTATCGCGGCGGGATCCTGTTCCCGACCTAAATTAATTAGTCGATCGATTGACCGATCGCCTTTGCGCTTCTTAATCGTTACCTGCGCGTGCGCGCGCTCTTTCATTATCAATGAAAGGAACGAAGACGAACGTTTTCAAGCAGAGAATAAAACAAAGAAAAAAAACAAGAGAAGGAGGACTATTAAAGTTCTACCTGAGAGAGAGAGAGAGAGAAAAATAGAGAGGTTCAAGGTTCAGATTTGTTTAATTGCTTACTCAGTGTCTGAACAATGTTGTTATTGTTGTTTTATCTCGTCTATTTTCTGTCTCCAAGATATTTATATATATACATACAACTAATAATTATCTTTAACATATTCAATATTTTAATGCAATCGGAAGGGAATGTTTGCGTAGGATGAAAATTTTCCAACGCGCGCGAGACACGGTCCGTGCGCATCCGCAATCGATCGCGTCGGGAAATAAATGGCACGAGTCCGCTTAATCGTCCAACGAGGCAATACCAATTAAAGTTGCATTCCCGAACGATGTCTTCCCCGCAACTATCGCATGTGCGCACCCGCCGCGACTGTGTGTGTGTTCGCAAGTAAAAACCTCGTAACCTATCCTATCGATACGTGGCGCGCGTCATTGCCTCTTGTAGCCGCTTCCTCTCCCGAATGACGCAGATGCATTTTCGCGCATTTCTGCGCGGTAACTTATAGCTTCGCAAAGCGTTTTTCGGCGCGCGGCCATAAATTCGCGCTATATATCGCTCGTGTTTATTTATTTGTTCGCGATACCAATTTGTGCGTATTTAATAATGCAAATATGCGCAATCACGGATTACTGGGATTCAAAATTTATTTATTTATTTACTTGATTTTTTATAAATTTTCCTTTCGACAAATTTTGCAAACGAGCAATTCCGACGAATCGTTGAGACGAAAAGAGTTTCGGAAATAAACCGAAGTCGTTCAGCGCTTCGCGCGCTGTGAGCAAAGATCGTAAATTCGATAATTATTTTCATGTTGATACTCCAAGTTTGATTGAAAACGATCGCTTTCCTCGAAATCGATCGTTTTGCGTTTGCAATATTGCAGTTTGCGATTTTCTCGTTGCGACGACGATTTCTCGGAATCGTTCGCGAGAGCAGAGATTTGCTCGGATAAATTTAGTAACCTATACTCTTTAAGCGTGAATCTCTTGTAAGACAAACTTCGTGCCGCGTGACGTGAGATATCCGTTTAATTCAGCTTCACCGAGTATCCTGACAACACGATCCGCCCAGACACGTACGCCTCGTGTCTTTATCTATAAGTACGCGCGGGCTTGTGTACTCACTGTGTTGCGACGTCCGCGATCTTCCTTCCGAGAAAACTCCTTCGACGGCGTCTCGAAAACTCCCCTTACTCGCTCCCCTCGCTCCTGCCTTTGGCAATGTGTCTCTGGCGCGCTTCTGGCTTTTCTCAATTCCGTTCTCTCTCAGGAAGAGACTCCGGGGTACTACTCCTCTTTCTTTCTTTCTCTCTCTCTCTCTCTGTCCCCGCCGAGAGAGCATATACCGGAGCCGATCGCAACGACAACGCAACGCGGAATCGTTGGGTTGGAGGACGAAGAGAAGAAAGAGGGGTGGCGTGAAGAAAAGCGCGTGGTTTGTTGCGGAACGAACGGACGAACGCTGATTCACTGTGCGCGCATTCCCGCTGTTATTTCAGGCCGACGCTCGTCGGCGCGTCGCGTCGCGTCGCGTCGCCTCGCGCGTTACAGATCCTTCTTCGCTTCTCGTTTTTTCACGAGCGTTCCATCCTCTCTCGTCCTCTTTTTCTCTCGCTTCTTCTGGTCGCCGCTCCACTGGATCTCCTAGAAACGCGATTTCCAGATCCCCGTGGATCCCGCAAACGTTCCTCTCGTTTTCTTCCGGATTCTGTCACCGAGGAGGAGGAGGGTTCATTCATTCACAAACACCGGCCGGGGGAGGAGGACTTTCACCCCTCCTGTGGAAGTAATCGTCACTTTTTCGAGTTTCGTCACTGCAATTTCGCGGGGGGCACTGTTGTTGTTCGCGCGTTTCGTTAAATCGTCAATCGATTTCTATTTGTTTGCGATCATACATGAAAATTTCGACAGATCGATGAGAATTCGATCTCGACGCACAAGTTGTGCCGGGCGCCGCTCGCTGTCACGCGACGGGATCGGTTCGGGAACTCGCGCGCGTCCGGACACTCGCGGTGCTCGTTGCGCTCTGAGACTACTACTACTCGGCTTCCCCGAGTCACGGAGCGAGGCGCAAGTGCGGCGGCGGCAACGGCGGCGGTGGCGGTGGCGGCGGCGTCGCGGCGGCGACACTGACGACGGGACGCACTACTACTACTCGCGGGCGGCTAGCGTTCTACTACTTCTCCGCGACGCAGGAGGAGGATGGTGCAGCACGAGGAAAGCTCGGGGGCGAAGTGCCAGAAGAGCCCGTCGCTTGAAATAACCGCTCGTCCACGCTCGTTTCCCTCCGCAACCCCTCGTTGGCTTTAGCCTTCCCCACCATCGACGCGCTTTAGGTGCCGCGTCGAGAGAGTGCCGTGATCACCGGCAAAACTCTCGGTGGGCCCCACTACTACTAGTGCCGCGCTCCCGGCACCTTCATCCTCGCGCTCTCTTTCTCTCTCGTCGACGTTGTGGTCGTTCGTCTCTTTCGTGCGCGCGTTCTCTCTTCGTTTGAGCGCGCGTTTTCGTCGCATGCATCGCGTCGTCGTCGTCGTCGTCGTCATCGTCGTCGTCGTCGTCGTCGTCGTCGTCGTTCGCATGCATGCGCTCCGTTCGTATAACGCACACGTGCGCGTCGCGGACGCACAATTTTCGCGCCGTTCCGAGACGTAAAGACGACAGCGAAGGACTCCTCTCATACTTTATCTTTTTTGCTCGAATAAAATCCGGTCCGAAAATGTAATTCTTTCGGGGACAATTGAACCTTTTTTTTTTTTAAGTACCTGGAGGACTCCGAAAGAGATCTGTAAAAAAAATTTATTTTTTGCAAACAACATGAATTCTAAACACATGTGTATGATATATTTTCCGCAAAAAGGTCTCTTGCGTTTATTGAAACAATTGTGTGAAACAGTAGATTTCACGCACCCAGGTAATTCCGACGTTCCGGGGTCGTCATCTCTGCACGCTACTCCTATTTTTCTTTCGTCCCCCTCGTATTACGTCCCGAACACATTCGGGACATGTGTCGCCCGAACGACGACCACCTTTTCCTTTCCCTCGGGAGACAACCGACGCGAACCATGAACGGCGATGGTTGGTCGCCGAGGTTACCAGCCGAGATTACCATAGCTTGGCTGCGCCGCCTTTCCCTCTCGGTACTTCTTCTTCCTTCTCTTCTCTTTCTTCCCTCTGCCCCGCGTTCTTCGGCGCGCGTCTCCCTTTTCCACCCTCTGGCGATGTCTGTTTCTGCCTGTTATTTATAGAACGCCGCGATGACTCGCCTAATCGTACTCGACCTCACGGCATAGACCTCACGGAATACCTATTATTAAACGGTCGAATTAATGAAACTCGTTCTCTCACGTGACCATCGGCCCGGTTTGATTTATGTGCTCTCGCTGTTTGTGCGTGAAGAGACGCGCAAACGTTGTTTTCGCGCAATCTCCTCACTCTCATCTCTTTGACCTCTTCTTTGATGCGCATCGAGAGTTTTGCGCGCGTGCTTTCCACCGCTCGGGAGAGGAACGCGCGAGAGCTTTCGCGCGCTCGCGCGCTAACTTAATCGACGGTGTCGTTAATGGACCGCGCGCGCGTGCCGCGAGATAACTCGTCGGCGTATAGTACTCGGAAAGGAGAGGGGGAGGACTCGTTCATCTCTCGCACTCTCCGCGAATGATTCATTGATTTATTTTTACAGTTGAATCCTAAGTGGTCGCATCGCGCGCTCGCGCGACACATACCTAAAGATTTATCTAGGACACGCTGAAAGCAAGCGCCTTTGTCGCGTCACGTACCTTCTAAATATAAATCTTTATAGCGTGTCTCTCTCTCTCCTGTAAAAAAGAAGCAAACAGATCCTTTTCCCGACCCTTTCCGCGCGATGGAATCTGTGAATTTACCGCGCGCGCCGCCGCATAAATCCCGCGATTACGAAGGTGCAATCGTATTATTTCTCTTCAAGAGAAGAGAGAGAGAGAGAGAGTCATTAAATGCGTAAATTATAATTTTACGTTACATTCGGCGAGCGTAAAAACCCTCCACCATCGATTAATTTCGACGTGTATTGATGGTAAGCTTTCTACAATCGTAGAAGCCACCCTTTTCTCTCTCTCTCTCTCTCTTCCTCTCTTTCTCTCGAGATTCGTATCTCGACTCGCGTTTGTTCGGTTTCCCCGTGCGAGAACAGATCGTTACTCTTGGCGGATTATATCCGACTAATTAGTACGTGTCGGTATAGATGCGAGAGCGATAGGATATATGTGTTTTTCTCTCTGCAGCGTCAAGCCTCGCGCGCCTCGTTTCGCTGTCACTGATCGGAAACATCTTAAATCCTTCTCCCGCGCCCGCGAGGCGTCGAAAACGAACGCGAAGAAAACGAATTAGCCGCGCGCTTGTATAAATAGTGCGGCCGTGCGTTATAATAACGCGAGCGACGAGACGAAACGCGTGCGCACGCACGCACGCACGCACGCGGAATGCGCGGTACGACGATGGTTAAACCGCTCAGACCGCAGAATCTTCGCGACATTATCCAGTCGCGACCACAACTCGCGTCGCTAACTGATATTGAGTAGCGCAAGAGAGGTTCTTTTTTTTTTGTTATTAAAAAAAATATTTTTATAGATCCGCGCCAGAAGAATTGCGTAAGAAAGACGTCGCGAGCGGGAAATTTGGTTGACGAGAGATATATTTTTGAATTATATCGCGGAAAGAGGAGCGATCGTCTTCTTCGAGTCGGCGATACCGAGACGAAGCACGAGAATTACGAGGTACGAGAAGAAGGTGTGTGAAAACGCGTCGAGGGAGCGACGAAACGAGCGTGGCTGACGGAATTATTATTCTCCCGTTTCTTCTCTTTGGGAACCGTCCTGTCCTCTGAATGTCTCTCTTTTCACAATTCCTCTCTCTTGCTTAGGTTTCTCGTCTTATATAGTTTTCCAGCAAGGTAGTTTCGTTCCGCGTACGGGGGACATCTCGCGTCGGAAACGCTTGTTTGTTCAAGGCTCATAGCGAAAACCTAAAAGTATCATACGAGATCACATGGAAGTCGAAACTTTTACATTTGAAAAAATAGTTGCGCTGGTAAAAACACATTTTGCTGCGAAACGAAAAGCAGCATCTCTTCTCGACGGAGCTAGAACAAATCTTCAGATTTTTGAATAATTTTTCGCTTTATCGAAGAACCATATATGCATCTCGAGTTTTTTGAGAGTTCTTTGGAAGTGAAAAATATATATAAAAGTGTTTTGGTACGAGATATTATTCGCGTGATAAAGCCATCGTTGTTTGAAGAAGATATCGTTAAATAATGCGCAGACTCGGAGAAAAAGTCTGTCGTCTTGGAGATTTCTGTCGTCGACCGACAACCATGAATTGTCTCGCGGCTCCGCGTCCGAGAATACTATTCCCGTTATTCGCGTTTCGACGCGCGCGCGCGCTTCCTCCGAATCTTATTTGTCTTATTGTCACCCCACGCGACAGGACGAAAAGATAAACAAAAAAAAACATCACGTTTGTTATTCTCCGTTTGCTTTATGTATATTTTTTTTTCTCTGTTAAATGTTCTAACAACGCTGCAATTTTTCAACAAAATTCACAGCCAGGCGATATAAAAATAAAATGTTTTATTTTCTTTCGTAAAAATATTGCAAATGTCACTCGGCGGAGACTCAGATGTTACACACTGTGAGCGGAAAGAGAATCGCGCGCGCGCGTTCAACGACTCGGCGGTTTCGGCGGGGTAACTCAAACGAGGAAATCGCGTAGCGCGCGTTGTGTATAAATTTAGAAACATTGTTTTCCGGCCGAGTAAATTCCATCGTGAGTAATCACTTCCTAAATCCGGCCGTACGCTAATCTCGACGACTTTTGCCGCCATCGCTCGCTGGCGGTTAAACCTCGGGCGGGAAAACTCGAGCTGCGGCGTTTTCGTGTTGTTGAAGAAATCGGCGCGTGTATTAACACGCCGAGTAATACAGCGAAATTTTTTTATACGTACGAAGAGTAATCTGTCCGAACAGAAGGCGCGGTGGGGTTTGGTTTACATAAAGATAGATACATAAAGGTTTATAATGTTAACGTTTGCGCGGCATAGAGAGAGAGAGAGAGAGAGAGAGAGAGAGAGAGAGAGAGAGAGAAAACGTGCGCGAAAGGTCGCGCGTAATCGTTTCTTCCGGTGCGTTTGGGAGCGCGTTTATTATTAACTCTTTTGGATCGACACGTATATATCTCTTTGAGGAGGCGCGCGGGCTTCGGCAGTGGCATAACAGAGACTAAACAGCGGTTCCAGGTACCGTTCCTCGCGAAAAAGCTTCGCTCTGGATCTCTGGACTCTTTTTAGCGCCTCGCTAAAAGTCATAATATTCACCGAGCGAGAGCGAACACAGAAACCCCAAAACAGCTTACGCTTCCGTTTTCCGAGAATATTGTCATTAATTGACGGGTGCGTAATTAAAAGTTTCTCTCTTTTTTTTTTTGGAGAAAGATGGAAGAGAAGGAGAGTGAGAATTTTCACATATTAAAACCACGTATTTA